CACACACACACACACACACACACACACACACACACACAGATCGACTCACTGGGAGACTCTGATGGTATGTCCATGATCAGGGCTGTAGCCGTTGGTCGGGCTGAGTGGCTGATCGATGGCCACAGAGAAACCTCGCCCTCTGCGTCCGTTGTTGCCCTCGGCGGTGGCTGGGATGGACACCAGTGTAACTGTGTGAGGGATTCGCGAGCATGGCGAGTCTGGCAGCGACACCGGGGTGACGATGGTCTGGTAGTAACAGTGACCACTGGGTCCAGAGAGGAAGAGGAGACAAAAGATGAGAGAGGGAAGGATGGAAAGAAAGAGGGCAGTTATAAAAAAAAAAGGAGGTTATGAAGTCAAGAAAATGAAAATCCTCGTGAGGTCTTTGGCTCGGTAACCATCCATGAAATCGTAAGAGGAACGTCAAGTTCTCATTACAACCGTTTTCACAGCATCACATGTTGTTGACAGGATGTTGCTTTAGCTTTGGAAAAACACTGTGCACTCATTGTGCAGACGTGAGGGCCAGCATGACTTCTGAAAAGTCAAGTGTGTGTTCCAAAAATTTGGAACACACTTTACTCTCTCATTCATGCGTCATCTCTATCAGAAGAACAATTTGACGTAATCGCAGATTTCTTCTCCTGCTCCCAGTTGAGAACAACAGGAACCTGAAACAAACACATAATAAGATCCACGAGAGACTGATGCTTTTCATAATGCTCCTGATGTGAGATTTACTGATAAAGACTGTAACTGCTGTTCATCACCTCAGCCAAGGTTGTGTCTATTTGCAGCATTAGGCAAAAACTACTGAACCAACTTGATTAAAACTCAGTGGAAAGGTGGATTATGCGCCTAGTCAGCCATGGTGGAGGTATGAGCTCTGGGTGCCCTCCTAAATATAAAAAAAAATTAAAAAATTAAAAAGTGGGTATCTGTGGCCCTCACTGGACTGTAATAAACAGGACCATTTAATCAGGATCATTTAATTCAGACCAAGTGTATCAGTAGCATTTTTTCAGCTTTTCAAGGATTACCAACTCTAGCTTCAATACCACTGAACTAATCTGAAACGACTGGTTTTCTACAATGCATCTGTCTCCAGCTGCAAACGTCTGCATTTTGAGTAGTTTCTAATACGTTTCTAGCTGGAAAAAGTAGCGTAAAAAATATCAAAAGCAACACATTTCAGACCATAACTTTAAATACGCCTGATAAACGTGCAGTTGCCCTGGTTTTCCCACTGTGCTTTGTGTCAGCCGTCCCCACATTTTGTGCTAATGTCGACAATAAGTTCTTTGAAGTCCAAAATAAGCTGCATAAACTTCAGATTCTGTCAGTCAACGACAGCTTTGGCTTCTTCTCTGTGGGTTTGGTTGCACTTCAAAGGGATTTCGAGTGGATTAGTTTGTGGTAGAGGAGGGAATTAAGATAACTAACTGAAACAAGTAATATAAGTTAGAAGGAAAGAAAACACACAAAGTAAAGAGGCACATTCTGCATTATCATGGCTGCCAGTGCTGAGACAAATAAATAAATCATATTTTAATTTTGGCTTTGAAAGATTTTGATATTCCAGCATGTGAATCTTGTATTGAGACTCACCAGTAGAGTTTGGATCTCTCCACCAGAGCGTATGTGTCCCCATCACCGATGAATGCCCTGCAGTTCAGGCAGGTGAAGCATTCTGGGTGATATTTCTGTTCCCCTGCGACCTGTTAGAAAGAAAACATTAAGCATGATTAAATAAATATTGTTATATAAATTTTCTAGAAACTGTAACCCACAATGTTAGAAAGTTAAAGAGCTTGTTCTCTGGTACAGACAGAAAACAGGGATCCATAACGACAGTGTTTGTGGTGTGACCAGAGCAACAGGCAACATGAGGCTTTATTAAATGTCGGAGAAGTAGGGCGAGGTCTGGCCGCTGAGGGTAAAGCTGAATTACAAGCTGGGAGATTGAGTTTAGTGCAGCCAGATCCCCCTCCAGGGCTTAGGGCAGTTTTGCAAAAAAGAAAAGGGAATTGAGTTATGGCCAAGCAACGAGGGAGGCAATGAGCAGATTAATCAGTGTGGCAGATCAGAGCACGATGCTGCAGCTGGAGGTTTCACTTCTGGGTGTTCTTCAGACCAGCAGGAGAAAACCGGAGACAAAGATCGACTGCATCATCATCACTGAGCGTCCCACCTACACTGCTCCTCATTAAATCTGTGTCCTCGCTTGTTGTGACTCTGAAAGACTGAGGCCGCTGCCTTCACATGTCAATATTCGTCCTTTTTAACTCTTTCTGGTCATTTTTTAAACGCCCCTTGGATGCAAATGACCCAAACACTCCGCCACCTAATTGTCTCTATGATTAAACATGAACTACACATTTTTGCTTTGAGAGGCAGAACAATTTGAAGGGAGCTGGGCCCCCTGACAGCACCTCTCAACCGCAATGATCTGCAATGCTAATTCAGTGTACTGAGGCAGAGGAGGGGCAGTGCACCCAGGACAACCCCACAAAGAATAATCTATTCAATGCAAATTAAAATCGAGGCGAAAACATAGATTCCTGCGTTAAAACTCCTTAAAATACAATTGAATGGCTAATGTCCAGTTTCACTGTGTATAAATTCTGCTCATGAAAAAACTCATCCACTGCTGCAGCCTGTAAGTAAAATGAATGCAGAACAGACACGTGGCCCAAATGGTCGATACAAGCAAAACAAAATGAGGGCTAAAGAGGGAGAAAATGTGAGGATCAAAGAATCAATAAAATCATTGTTTAAAGCCACATGTCTGCTGCTGCCCCACCCTCCTGGGAGAGCAGCAGTAAAACTACGAGTGCACACAAACAGATAAACACATGCCACCAGCCCTCCGGCTGCAGGGAGGAAGACACCTCGCTTATTAATTAACAGCTTTTTAAGTAATTCATTGGAGCAGCTCCTTCCAGCTAAACACCAGAAAAAGATGCCACCACTTGGCCCAGATACCCAGAGAAGTATACTGTAACTTGTCTGGCTTATTTAAATCCTCTTTTTCTTTCTGTTTGTAGAGTAAAAATGACAAAGATTTGGAGCTACAAATAATTCAACTGTAAGATTAAAAAGCTCTCCTCTTGACTCCATGTTGTTTAATGCTCGAGCTGATCATAAAAGATCGTAGAGCAGGAGGAGAAAACACAGGCGTTGTTTAATGGACACGAGGATGAGCCAGCTGCAGGGCTTAATGACCATCTTCATTTCTTTATTTATCCTCCAAGCAGCCTCGTAAAAAAGGAGGCATTAACAATTACTGTCAGACATCAGCCAGTTAGAGGATACGAATCAGAGAGAGGAAAAGGAGAAGAGAGAGAGACGAGAGAGTGAATGTAAGGAGGACACCAAAGAGAGATCCAGAGAGATCATTTTAAGGTTAAATACAACATTTTGGTTTTTATGTTTTGAGTTTGGCAGTGTGTGTGTGTGTGTGTGTGTGTGTGTGTGTGTGTGTGTGCATATGACTTAAGTGTCGCCCTACAAATGGGAAAGACAGGAAAAGGAGGACAGCTGGACGGAGATGAAAAGGGCGTGTGGCTGCTACACAACCTGACATGCTGGCTGCCATTTGCTTGCCATGCAGCACACACACACACACATACACACACACACACACACACCCTTCCTCTTTAAAACCACTTCTGACAGGCGACAGCTGCTGCCCTCAAATTTAGGACATGCTTCCCCTCCAAAGTGTAGAGATAAAGACAGATAACAGATACGTGATGTCAAAGCTGTGACCGCTTCGCAGCCTTTACAAGACAGACTCAAGAACCATCACATTGTGTTAACGCCCCACAGCTTCCGTTCCTGATGCTCACTCCACACGGTGGTGCAGCTTCACGTGTCCTCAAGCCTCCAAGAGTGTACTTCTTTATTTGTGAGTTAGCTCATCATGCCCATGACTGCGTGTTAGCCGGTCATGAAGCCTCGTGGCCTCGTCTTCTTCTAGCGGCGAACCAGACTGTTTGCACATGTCTCCCTGGGGGGGAGGGTGAGTGGGTCGATGGGGTGCAGGAGGAAGTGGGTCAAATTGCAGAACAAAGCTCTGTTGCCAGGGGTGAATAGGATCTCCATCACATTAACTCTACTTACATTAAAGTATTAAAATATGTCTCGTATCCAGATTGTGTCTAGATCGAATTTTAATCTGATTACATTTACACTTAGTTTTATATATGTGTCTCCACTGTCCACACTGAGATCTGATTGAGATCCGATCACTTCTTCCAGCTCATGTTACATCCTCCTGTCTTTTCCAAAGGTCCCAAACATCAACACCACAAAAAGATGAGTAGACGATGTTAATTCATGAAGTCTTGGTTTTGTGTGTGCTTGTTTTTTAATTGGTCTCCATACACAACTGTCTCAGCAAGCTCCCCGCAGCTGCTGCTACCTCACAGGTTTGGAACAGTCACATGTGGTTTCCACTCGTCAAGTTGTTGTGTGTGGAATGACAATGTAACTGCATTTACACTTAAGTTCATGGTGGTCACACTGTATGTCTGACCACCTCCAGATGTGGTTTAACCAATCAGATCACAATTGTGCATCTTGGGTGCATTTACACTTTTGCTTTCATGTGGTGGAGCCCTATCTGACTGCAGTCTGTATTTTAATTACAAGTTTCAATGGCATAATTGTGACCTAAACTCCATGAATGAACTAAAGGACATGTAGCTCAAGTATGAAGTGCACTGCGTCTTTTGTAACTCAAACATCGAACCACTTTTGTTTGTTACTCTTTGATACAAAGTCTAATCACTGTAACATTACAAAATTATATCATAACAGTTGATACAGTTATCATTAAGATCTTAGAAAAAGAGAGAAAATAATGCATTTAAGAGTTAAAACCAATGCTTACTTTATAAGACACACCAAATTGAAGCAAGGTATAATTGAAGCAGTATAAAACTAGCAGTAACGGTCAGCCTCTGAGACTGTTGACTGAGGCTGTCAGGGCCCTTCAGTTTTATTTGTTTTTAAAGATTTATACGTGTGACCTTAAGTTGGGCTGCAAAATGGGAAAAGACCCTTTCAGCCATCTGGAGGAATTTATGACTCTAATACTGTGTGACACTAAACAGTTGAGAAACATGTTGGTGGGTTTCTCGACCATTCCTTCAGGCCATCAGTCGCCCACTTATCCTGAGATGAGGTCTGAGTAATAAAAGCTCTGGACCTTAGAATTAGTTTGTACAAAATGTCAGAGATGTCAGACGTCAGCAGAAATCTGCAAAAATATTCTCAGAGGGTATTTTGTTGAATAAGAAACAATTTCTACTTATTTGCTGCTCTTTATATTGGTTATATTTCAAACAGAGTAATTTAGTTAAACATTTCACGATTTCCCACGATGTTCTAATTTCCTCATTCATGTGTGCTTTGTTGATTGTGTTGTGAAAGTGTGTCAGGGGGAGTTTGCAAAGATAAGGAGCAGCTGTAGATAACAACTGTTCAATGTCAAATAAAGAAGAAGTTACTTGAAATGAAGGCGACAAATATCTGATGAGTGTGTCAGGAGGATGACACATCTGAGGGATTTTTCATTTTTAAAAAAAGACTTTTCTAATGAAAGCAGTAGAGATCTTGTCAGCCACAACACTTAATACCATTCGTACTATTTTTAAAATAATCAGTAACATTGAAACTTGCAAATGTGAAGAACATGGGTCACATTTTTTTAAAGTCTTGTGTGAGATTTGTAGGTCAATATTTTTGGATTGTTTTACTTACATTATGCATATGGCCACAGAATCCTCAGAGCGTGTTGAAACACGTGTATTTATACTCAGGAGGACCTCATCCTCCACATCTATTAACACCAGTCAGACCCTGTGACTTCAGTCTGCTTCTGCTAAATGTGGAACAATGACCTCATATCAACACGGCTGTGGGTGCTTCTGAACTCACTAAATGATGGCAGATCTGGATCTCCTTAACCTCCTGCTTGATGTAATGACCTCCTTCATTACCTCAACTCAAAAAACAAGGTCCATATGTGTCTGAGAATCAACTTATACAGCTTGAAAAATTACCTCATGAGGAAATAGTAAAAACAACATGTGCACCAGGTACCTGATACTCCCCAGAGAGAGAGGGTTACAACTGGGTCAGATTCCAGAAATGTGTGGAAGGGAATTCCTACAATGCCGGATCAAAATGTAGTAGAGCTGCTGTTGTGGTGGTTTGAACAAAAATAAAGTCAGAAAGAAAAAGAGCCTGATGGCCAAAAGTCCCTATAGACCTTGAAGCTACAGCAGACATCATTTAGGCAAATACAATTAAACTGAGAGCCTGAGAGAGAGCGAGGACAGTGAGCCACATTCATGCTCTCTGAAAGGAAAACCCCCATCTTGCTCCAATCATACAGTAACACTGTACACAGGCCTCATCTTTAGAAATGCTGGTAATGTGTTTCCTCCTCTCTGTGAGTCTCACATTCACTGTCACCAGATGAGGAAATCATCACACAGTGTGATATGAATGTACCGGAGGTGGTGAATAAAAATAACACGCTGCTGTGACACAGCTATTAAACATGACAACCATGTTTCTCTGTCCCTGAATGTGATCACACACTTTGAGTCTCACTTTTATCTTTTATCTAAAAATAGCACGCGTGCCATGGCTGATCAGATTTTCATGACATGAAGAAAAGATGGAAAAAAAAGCTGGGGCACAA